GGCTGCTGTCGCATCATCCAGGTGGGGCTGCACATTGGTGGTGGTGGAGGGGAGTCCCCATTACCTGTAAAGCGCTTTGAGTGGAGTGTCCAGAAAAGCACTATGTAAGTGTAAGCAATTATTATTATTCGGCTACATACTGTGGTTATTTTGGAATAGTTTTAACCAGCTCCTAATGACTATACAGGTAGAAAATCCAAAATTCCAAAATCCGAAAGCCTCCAAAATCCTAAAGTTTTTTTAATCCTGACATGACACGCCACAAGTGGAAAATTCCACAAAGTGCGGGATGGTTCCACAATGTACAGCTGTTGTGTGCCGCTTTAACCTTCACGTAAAACACTATGTATGAGTGTAACATGACTAGCGTAATTGTTGCGTTATACTGTAAATATAATAGTAATAATAATAATTGCTTACACTTAAAAAGCCCACCGTGCACTATTCCATCCGGGTACTATGGAAGCCTCACTGGCGGAAATGGGATTCTATAAAAATTAGTGTAATTAATTTGATTTTTATCAGGGCATTGTACAAGACAAGTCTTCAGGCCTATGGATCCTATGATCCTGTACGATTTACAGTACATGAGAATATAGGGGGGAAGGAAAAGTGCCTACGGTCATATTTTTCACTGACAGACAAAGTTGTGTTGTGTTAACAAAAATTACAGTATGCTTAACAGCCGCTTGTAAGAGCAAGGCGACTTCCTGCTATTGAAACAATTTTTTTACAGCTTTTAAAGTCACGCAATGTTTGAGTTAGGCAGGGACATTTCATTGTTTAAAATAAATATGAGATTACCAGCAATCAAATGTCCTGTTTTTCCTTACTTTACTTTTTGGGTAAAAAAAACATGAATATTAATAAATGACACATGTCCTACATGTGAACTTGTGTTCTGTGTACTGAATCTTAGTGCACTTTTCCTATGTTTGTAACAAAAACAAAATCTAAATGCAATACAGATTTTGTGCACAGCTAGTTCTTGTACAGGTTTGTCACAGGCTTGTACAGCAGCTTGTGCTGCTGGAGGTGTCTCTGGTGATGGAGAGCCGACTCTTGAGGGACTCTTTATAAGCTGTGCCTCC